AGCAGAGCCAGGAGAAAAGAATGGCCTGGGCCTTCCTGCAGCTGCAGTCAGAGCGCAATGTGATAAGATAGGATGTTCAGAGGGAGGAAGATGAGAGCTTTTTCATGCTCTGCCCTGCTCAGACCGCAGCGAGATAAATTTTTTGGCTCTGGGTGCCATATTTAGGATAAATGTTGACCAGCTGGAGCACATCCAGTGAAGGACAACCTAAATGGAGACCATGCCACAATCAGTGCTTGGTGACTGGCTGACTGCCATCTGTGAGGAACAGCTGAAGGAACTGGGCACATTTAGCCAGTTTAGAGAAGACTTTGAGGAAATACCACCTGCTCCCAAGGAGCTTACATTCTCCTGAGAAAACAAATCAAAGCCCACAGATTTCAGACAAGTTTTGATTCAAAGAGAGCAAAATTCTCTCTTTAGACAATAAAAAGAACCATTGAAATGGAAAGCACATTTTGCATCTTATGAAATGCTAAATATCTATTTCAGAACAAAATTAGACTGACGGACAGGGGGAAACAGATGAATTAAGGCTCCTGAGCCTCTATGCCATGTGATGTTATTCTGTGGCATGCCAGGCAAGCAGGATTTCTACCCACCTTGATTTCTCAGATCAATTTTTTAAAAAGTGAACTGGAAGTCAAAGTGGTTCTTATCAGTTGGGGAATGGATAAACAAGTTATGATATATAAATCTGATGGAAAATTATTGTACTTTAAGAAATGAAGGGGATGATTCCATAGAAACCTGGTAAGACTAGTATGAAATGATGCAAAGCAAAGTAAGCAGAACCAGGAGAACAATTTATACAATAACAATAATATTGCCCAGACAAACGTTAGGAACTCTGATCAACACAACGACTAGTCACAATCCAAGAGGACTTGCTCTGCACCTCCAGAGAGAGAGGTGACAGACTCAGTGCAGACCGAAGCACATTGGGGAGGGGAAGGAAACAAGATGATGTGAGAATTCATTTCGATTTACTATATATGTTTGTAACAGGTTTTATTTTTCTCACCTCAATGGAGGCATGGAGTGTGAAGGGGGAGGTGAGAAGAGAATATGTGTTTGAAAGTAAGATTGAATTTTAAAAACTAATTAAAAAAATAAAAAGATAATCATCAAAATATGTTCAAAATAAGTTCATGGACTCTAGATTAAGAACCTCTATTATACCTAATGCAGGAAACAGAAATAGGCTGTCTTCTCCCTCCCCATTTTTTTTTTGTTTCAATTAATCATTTAAATTCAAACATTAAGCTAAAACAGGCACTATGCTAAGGGATGGGGATAAAAAAGAAGCAAAAGACAAGCCCCGCCCTCAAAAAAGCTCACAATCTAATGGGTGAGACAACATGCCAACAGTACACACAAAGCAAGCTGTATACAGGATAAATGGGAAATAATTAGTAGACAGAAGGCACTGGAATTGAGAGGTCGGGGAAGGCTTCCTGTAGAAGATGGGATTTTTTATCTGGGTCTTAAAGGAAGCCAAGGAGGTCAGTAGTCAGAGTGCAGGAGGGAAAGCATTTCAGACAATGAGGACAGCCAGAGAAAATACCTGAGGCTTAAAGATGTTTATGGAATCGCCAGGAGGCCGGTGTCACTGGACCAAAGAGTACATTCAGGGGAGTGAGGTGTAAGAAGACTGGAAAGGGAGGAGGGACGAGGTTACCTAAGGTTTTAAATGCCAAACAGCATCTTGTATTTGCTGCTGCAGGTCACGGGAAGTTCACTGAATAGGGATCAGACCTATGTTTTAGGAAAAGCACCTTAGTGTCAGAATGGGGAATGGGCTGGAATGGGGAGAGACACCAACAGGCTATTGCAATCACTGAGGCGAGGGGTGAGGAAGGCATGCAGTAGAGTGGTGGAGGTATCACAAGAGACATGGTGCAAAGGTAAAACCAGCAGGCCTGGGCAACTGAAGGGTATGGCAGGGGTGGGGGGTTGAGAGGCAGTGAGGAACACAAGATGACTCCCAGGTGCTGTGAGAGGATGGCGTTGCCCTCTACAGTAATAGGGAAGGGCGGAGGGCTTGGAGGGAAAGATGATGAATTCTAGTCTGGACATATTGAGTTTAAGATGTCTACTGAACATCCAGGTCAAGATGTCTGGAAGGCAGCTGGAGATGGGAGATTGGAGGTCAGCAGGGTGGGACAAGGAAGGTAGACTGGAGAATCACCAGCACAGAGATGGTAATTAAGTCCATGGGAGCTGATGAGATCACCCAGTGGAGTTATACAGAGGGAGAAAAGATGAGGGCCTAGGCCAGAGCCCTCAGGTTGGAGACCATGATATGGAGGAGGATCCAATGAAGGAGACAGAGTAGAAGTGGTCAGACAGGAAGGGGGAGACAAGCAGAGAAGGAGAGAGGGTGTCACAGAAAACTGGGAGAGAAGAGGGTATCAAGGAGGAGAGAGTGACCCACAGCACTAAAAGCTGCGGAGAAGCCGAGGACAGGAGTAACGGAGAAAAGGCCTTTGGATTCGGCAACTAAGAGATCACTGTCAATTTTAGAGGGAGCAGTTTGGTGGAATGACAAGATCAGAAGCCTGGTTATGAGGCAAGAAGAAGAGAGTAAGAGGAAAGAATGTGAAGGCGGCCATTGTAGGTGGCCTTTCTGAAGAGTCTCACTCTAAAGGGCAGAAGAGACAAAGGGTGATGGCTCGCAGAGACGGAAGGGTCACATGAGGGTTTTTTAAGGATGGGGAGATGTGGGCATGTTTAGAGGCAGTATAAAATGAGCAACAGAGATTGGAAATACGAGAGAGTGGGGATGACAGAAAGGGCAATCTGTTGGATGAGACAGGGTGGATGGGGATCACCTGCACAATTAGAGGAGTTAGCCTTGGTAAGGAGTGAGGCCACTTCATCATGTGAGATGGGGTGAAGGAGGAGATAGTGGTGGAAGGTCCCTCCCTGGCTGGTAAGAGCTGAGTAAGAATGGAGAAGAGGGAGTTCATGGTGGATGGTCTCAAATTTTTTTCTGTGGAATATGAAGCAAGGTTTGCAGCTGAGAGATTAGGGAAAGGAGAAGCCATGGGAGCTTTGAGTTGGCATGTGTGAAAAATGAGTGTTTCTCTCTTGTATTTAATAATTATTGTATTAGGACTAAGGTTTTCCCCCTTCTCTACTTCCTCATCCAGTGTGGGAAATCTGAAATGAGACTTACCCAGGCCAGTAAAAGAAATCCTAAGTTTGGGCTAATGAGTGCATCCCTGCTCCCTGTGGGTGCTCAGACAGGTCTGGGGAAGTGTTCATTCTCCCTTTTGTCAGTCAGGTGACATGGAAATTGATAAGTCTCTTTGATTAAGATTTGGGTGATCCAAGTCACATGCCCCAAGACTCACTGTGATAAAGGCCTGACTCTCATTACTTGTTAAACAATCAGAGCTGATTGCCACCCCTCAGGAACACCTGCTCTTCCAAGAGCATAGAAACTGTGAGCCCACTGCCATGAGGGATCTTGGTCTGAGAGATGGCCAAATGACCATCCTTTTATTAATAAACATGCTGGTCTTGTTAACAAAACGATCAAATTACCCAGAAACTGTGTCCCCTGGAACTGGGCACGGGGGGGGGCGGGGGGGCGGGCAGAGGCGGGGCGCCTTCTCGGTGGGCGTGGTGGGAGGGGGAGGGGTTCCGCTGGGGGCAGGCTGGGCTTGCGAGAACCGAAGGAGCGGAAGACGGGCTGCCCATCCTCCTCCCCGCCTCGCTTCCCTCCACGCACGTGCGCTCTTCAGAAGTCTGCGCTCCCAGGCCTCCCCAGGTGCTTCCGGTGCGCGTCAATCCCCCCTACCGCGGTTGCCTTGGAAAGGAGACACAGGGGCGGGGGAGGAAACAGAAGCTTCCTTTTCGTCATTTCCGTTCCCCGCCATTTTTCCGGCGCTGCCGCCAATTTAGGCCGGCCTCTGCCGCCCTGGGCACGCTCGCGGTCGCCCCGGCTCCACCGTCCTCAGCCTCCACCGCCGCTGGGCCGAGCCCGGCCCTAGGGGGGAGCCCCGGGCGGGCGGACGAAGGGGGAGGATCACCCCGCTCCGCGTCTTGGAGGCTGCCCACGTTCTCGGGCTGGCCTTTGAGGATTGCGCGTGCGCAGTTCTCTCGCGCGGAGGCCCTTGAGCACGCCCATTGGCTGACGTTGGAGGCGCGGCTAGAAGACCGAGCAATCGAGAGGTCAGGATGTTATGCTCCCGCCTCCCCGGCTTCTCCAGCCTCTTCTAGGCTCCTCTCTTCCCATCTCCTCTTCTCCTGCGCCCCGCCCCCCCACCACGCTTCAGCTTTGCTGGGGTTTGAATCCAGCTTCTTGCTGGGTGACCCCTGTGCCTCAGTTAACTCATCTGTAAAATGAAAATAATGCCAGCAAATGAGACAACGTGTGTAAAGGTCATTTACTGTCGTCACTACCATCGCCACTATTCTCTCCCTGCGGGAATCTTGCTCCCAGTATTTCCCCTCTACTCTCCAGAAGGACCTATGGAGTTGCCAGGAGGCAAACTTAGAGCATTTATTAAGCTCTTACTGTATGCCAGACACTGTGCTAAGTGCTGAGGCTACAAGAAGAAACAAGAAACTGCCTGTGCCCTCAAGGATCTTACATTCTGATTGAAGAAGATAAACCATTTAAGGGGAGATTTGGGGAGGAAGGTTAGTAGGGGCCGGCATTGGGGGAGGAGTGGGAAGTCCCAAGGATCCAGAACGCAGACAAGTCTGGAGAGTGAGTTGGGCTGGAAGTGAAGTGAACATGGACAGGGGCTCCTCATGACCTCCTCCTGAGCGAGGGATCAGTTATTCAGCCAGTCACTCAGCTGGCATCTGTGAACACCTACTGTGTGCCAGGCCCAGTGCTGCGTGCTGGTGATCCACAGAAGGCAAAAACCAGTCCCTGCCCTTGAGGAGCTCTCAGTCTGTCCGAGGAGAGAGGTCACCTGCAAACAACTGCGGACAAACAAGGCTGCAACACTGAGAGCTGGAAGGCAGGCCATCTCATCAGCCCTTTTTCCTTCCTACTATATATAAGACTCTGCCCTTAGAAGAGAGGATGGCCCCTGTGCTCCTGACAGCCAGGACCCGCCAGGTAAGTGGCAAGACTTCTTTCTTTGGGTGACATTTCTGTCCTTAGAACGAGCACCAAGAAATTGGTACCATCTTTGATTAGAGGCGGCCAAAGGGCCCGGCAGCGCCCAGGGTGCCGTGCCTGGAGTAGGAAGGGCCAATTCCTTGTGAAGCCCCTTGGGGGCGCAGCAGTGCCCAGGGTGCTGGGCCTGGAGTAGGAAGGGCCAATTCGTAGTGAGGCCTCTAGGGGGTGCAGCAAGTGCCCAGGGTGTTGGTCCTGGAGTAGGAAGGGCCAATTCCTTGTGACGCCCCTAGGGGGCGCAGCGGTGCCCAGAGTGCTGGTCCTGGGATCAGAAAGACCTGAGGTGGTTGAAATCCATCTTGGGATGCTTACTAGCTGTGTGACCTTGGGCAAGTCACTTCACCTCCGTCTGCCTCAGTTTCCTCATCTGTGAAATGTGAATAACCTGCCAGTCTGTCAATAAACATTTATTATTTGGGTATCCTAAGCAGCAGAAGAGTACAGCTGGGTGGGCCTGTGAACCCTCCATAAGTGGAGTTTCTGGGAGGTCTCCACCCTCCAGGCAGGGGGAGCAGCCCCAGCAGCAGAGGATATTACCAAGGCCTGAGTTCCTGGAGGACCATGGAGAAGATCAGGCAGTGCAGCAATCCAGAATGGAAATAAGAAAGTCCCCCGCTCCGGGGTTGTTGGGAGGATCACACATGCTTTGTAAATGTCAGTTAGGGCTCATCTAGTCAGGAGTCTGCTAGGGATTGGGGCTGGGTCCAGCCAGTAGAATGGAAGTTGGAAGCTCCCCCTTTATTTTACACAGGAAGAAGCTGAGGCCGTTGGTGGGCATCAGTGGAGCACACAGGCTTTCCACCTGTCCGTGACCACCATTACCAGGCCACTTCCTTTCCCTAATCTTGCATCTTTTTAGTGATTTTTGTACCACTTTTAGATTGCAGTCAGTTCTTTGTTGGTAATATACTGTGGCAGGGTCTCTTAACTTTTCTGGTGTCGTGGACCTCACTGGCAGTCAGTCTGGTGAAGCCTATGGACCCCTTCTCAGAATCCTGTTTTTAAATGGATAAATGCAATGGATTGGATTACAAAGGAAACCAGTTATGCTGAAATACACGATGCCACCTTAAGAGCCCCTGTGCTGTTGTCTGTTTACTCCCATCATGCATTGTGACTCTAATTCTTTAGACACAGTGGTATTCCATGCCCTGTTGCCAGAAGGATCATGAACTTTGAGGCAGAAGCATGGAGTCATGAGAACCATGGCCCAGTTTCCCATATGCACTCCAGCCAGCCCCCACTGTGCTGATGCAAATGCTGGGGCCACTCTGTGGGCTGTCCCTCTCGCAGGCCTTCAGCCATGTGCTTCTCACGTGAGGATAGGCCAAACTCTTGAATTATTGTCTCGTTTAGGATGGCCTGCAACATGTTGGCAAGCTTCATGTGGTTAAGAAATTGTCATTCCCAAGCAGGAGCCTTTGGAGGACTTCCTCATCTTTAAGCAGTCAGTCTCTCTTCCATTTAGACTCTCCTCTGGACAGCTTCTGTGACTGTGTACATGCCTCTGTCCAGCATCATCTGTCTCCTTGCGGAATGCCTCCCTTACCATTAATAACTAGAGGATATCAGACAAGGTTATCTCTGTTGCCTCTTTCCAAAAATCTTCTAGTCCTGGCATTGGCCAACAGAAAAACGGAAATAATATCTGATTTTTAATGGCATGCAGCAACTATGTTATCTGTAATTGGAAATTAATGTTCCAAGGAGGATGGTTGCACTTAGGGCTGGATATCTAAACAATTGGGGGAGGGGTGTTAAGAGTTAGGTGCTCTTAGCCCTTGAACTGGGCCTCTGCCATTCTCCACATATGGTTGGGATTCAGAGTAATACAAAGGCAAAAGGCCATGATTGAGGATCTTACTAATCATCATGGGCTGCAGTGGGGTCTCCATACCTCTTCTGAACACTGTTTTGACACAAGGTTTTATAATCCCATGATCCTTCCCCCCATGACCAAGTCCTTCCAAATCCCCCACTCCAAATCAGCCTGCAATGATTGCTTTTAATTTTTGTCTCTTTTCCTGTGGAGGAGGGCCATCCCAGCATTTCTCGAGTGAGTGTGAGGGAGGGGCAAGGAGAGAGTTGGAGTGCATGTACTTTGTGAGGCCACCAAGACCCTTACACTTGATTCTAGGATTGGAGGAAATCTGCATCCCTGTTGTCTTGGTTGATGTTAGACTTTTAAAGAACAGATATATTGTATCGTCCTAAGCATTCCCTCATTTTTTGGGGGGGCCCTCTAAGCATAAATATTAGCTGTTAAGATGATCTCTCATAAACTTTGACAGTACAGTGCACCATAAACAAGTTATAGGATAGTCCAACATTACTTGACCCTGAACATCTCATAGGTGAAGCAGTAGCCCATATACTTGCCCATTTCTGTCAAAGGCCCCAGTGTCCTTCTAGATTGAAGGTCAACCGTTTCTCAGCCTTAGAGGCCTTCCTGACTCTTACTCCCCCTCCCAACCCGGAAGTTCTTATCTCCACTCATTTGTTTAGTCTCAGCAGTATTGTTTCACTGCATTTCTCACATCTGTCCCCTCTGTCCTTATGTGCAGTTACATAGCCCAGACCATCCTCATATATTTTCCATAGATTTCAAAAGCATCTCCCCACCTGAAGTCTTTCCCCTCCCCAACACATCTTCCAGGGAGATGGAGCTTCCTGGGGCATAGCTCTGACCACGTCACTCCCCTGCTCAGGAAGTTTCAGGAGCCTCCTTTTGTCCCTCAGTCAGAATACAAACTTCTCTGTTTAGTATTTAAAACCCTGCAGGATCTGGCTCTAGCCTGTCTTTATAGATTGGCGGATTTCACATGTTCCCACGTGCTTACTCTCATGTTCCAGCAAAGCCAGACTCTGCCATTTGTTGTATATAACATTCAATCTCCTGTCTTTGTGACTTTCAACAGGCCGTTCTCCAAGCCTGGAATCTCTGGAAGTGCACAGGCAGCTGGGTGTTGCAGTGAGTAGAGTGGCCAATTCTGAAGTCAGGCCTTCGGCACGTAGAGCTGTGTGATCCTAAAGAAGTCACGTAGCCTCTGTCTGCCTCAGTTTCCTCATCAATAAAACAGAGATGATAATAGTACTTGCCTCCAAGGTTCTTGTGAGGATAAGATGAGTTAGTATTTGTAAAAAAGCCCTTACCACGTGCCTGGCACATAGCATGTGCTTAATAAATATGTGTCCCAAGGGCAGTTAGGTGGTGCAGTGGAGAGAGCACCAGCCCTGAAATCAGGAGGACTTGAATTCAAATCCAGCCTCAGACACATAACACTAGCTGTGTGACCCTGGGCAAGTCACTTAACCCCAGTTGCCTCACCAAGAAAAAAAAATGTGTGTCCCCTTCCTCCTTTCCCTGCAGGGTTCAGAGCTCAGGTACCATTTCCCTGAGCCCTGACTTGCTTGCCTGTCACACCTGTTTTATATTTACCTAATGTTGTATATTTTGTGACCCCCAGTAGGATCTAAGCTCTTCATGAACAAGCAGCATTTCATTTTTGTCTTGGTATCCCTAGCACCCAGCAAAGAGCCTTGAATCACACTAGTTTGTCTCCTAATGAAAGCTCTCCACACAGGTGCCCCCAGCCCCATGCCAGCAGCAGTAGCCAGCAGGCTCATCTCCTAACCTTTTCTCTCCAAGCACAAATGTTAGCTACATGCCCTGAACGAGCTCCCTTCAATTTCACAGCAAGGCCCACCGAAGGAAGTGCTTGTTGCCCCATGGTAGGTGCACCACACAGTTGAGGAGATGATGTGATATAACGACCCACAGAGCAGGAGGCAGCACAGTATTGTGGAAGGCACCCAAGCTTGTGAATCAGAAGTCCTGAATTTGAAGGCTAGCTCTGATCATTTCTAGCCATATGACCCTGGCCATTTCCCTTAAAGTTCATTATTTTCAGTTTTCTCATCTGTGAAATGGGGATAATGAATACTTTTGTGAGATAAGAACTTTGTACATACACCAAGAAAAAAAGTCATTATATGTATGAACTGTTTTCTTGTTGTATTACATGGTTTGAAATCCAGTATGAATGATGGGGCATAAGGAGTGCTCAGGAAATACTTGACCTAACTGGAAAACTGAGAAGCGCTCCCTTCGGTTCCTGGCAGCCTCCCGTTACCTGCTTGGTCTATGAAGGGTGCTTCCTGGGTCAGCACAAATGTATTTGGTATTTCAGGAGTTGGTGACATTCAAGGATGTGGCCGTGGACTTCTCCTGGGAGGAATGGGGGCACCTGGAACGTTCTCAGAAGGAGCTGTATCGGGAGGTGATGCTGGAGAACTACAGGAACCTGGTCTGCCTGGGTAAGGATGGCTCCCTTCAGTGTCTCAAGACCTGCCCATTGGAGGATCTTTGCATCCAGTCTTAATAAACCCCGTGGGATGTCTTGAGGGTTAATCAGTTATTGTCAGGTATGCAGGACCTGAGAATCCCATTTCTTTTGTGGCCATGAAAAAAGGTATCTCTGCTAATTATTACCTGGTGAATGGTCTCTGATCGATGTAACTAGAAACTGGAAGCTCAGTTGTGTTGTCCTGGGGTTATCAGATACACGATTCTCCCCTGAGGTCAAGTGCACCCTCATGGAGATTCATTGGATTGGACTGGATTCCCTCCTCTTGCCAGAAAGTGAGTCAAATGTATTTATTTACCATCTGAGCCCAAATCCACTTTGGAGCCTCATTTGTCCAGTAATCCAGAGTATGCCTGATGCCTATTTTTGTATCTTAGCACTGTACTTAGCTTAGTACCTGGCACATAGCAGGCACTTAATAAATGCTAGTTAGCTGGCTAGGCTTGCATTCTGCAGGGGCTCTTTGTGCCCGGCATTTTCCTATTTTCATTGGACAGGACTTGAGGAGTCAAAACCAGATGTGATTGAGCAGCTGGAGCAGCAGGGAGCACCTGGGATACAAGGAGGATCTGCCCTAGCAAGTGCCTGTCCAGGTGAGTGTGTGGGAAGCAGGCAGGTAAGGCGCCTGAGTGGTAGCAGCGGAGCCGGCTGCACAGGAGAAGCCCTTTAAACACCGTCCAGGGAGCTGTCTTCAAAGTGCCCCTGAGGCCTTGGAGGAGGGCTGAGGCAGTGGCATGGTGTTCCTTCCTTCCCGAAGCCTCCTCACCTCAGTTCTCCTGACGTCTGCCCTCGGAGCAAGGGGACCATACTATCCACAGAAGCTGCATCTTTGGCTATTAATAGCCAATCATTGGCAACTATTATCTCCCTTCTCCTGGCCCACTCATTAATTTCCTTTTAAAGTGTGTATTTATTAATAACAAAATATGAACGCAAGTGCCCTGTTTCTGCATACCACTCTAGTCACTTCTTATTTTAAATTGTTTTTAGGATTATGTCACTGTTAATTTTGTAGCGGTGTGGTTGGTGTGTGTATTCTGGCCTTGTTTTCTTATGTTCCTTTTTTAGAGAAAGTCCTATATATCTCTACATTCTTAAAATATAACTATTATAAAGGTACCTTGATATGTATAGATGCCAGAATGTAGCTATAACAGAATGCAGTTAGACACAAGTTTCATTTTTGGCCTTTTACTATTATCATTAATAATAGCATCATTATGATCATCACCCTTGTTGTTATTACCAGCATCATTATTTATTATGGTATTGTTATTGTTTTGAGATTGAGCAGCCAGTGAGGGAATGCCATCAGAGCAGTATCATCTGTGTATCTGAGATTGTTGATATTTCTCCTGGAAACCTGAATTCCAGCTTTCAGTTCATCCTACCTCTCCACAATCCATCTGCTCCTCTTCTTTCTTTCCATCATACCCTCTGTCATTTTTTTTTTCCCACAAACTCCTTTTTATCTTGGTTCCACATTCTTTCCATCTCCTTCACTATCAGAAACCTGGCTCTGCACGGAAGACATTGCATCCTTGACTGCCCTCTCCATTGTGGGGGCTCCTTCTCTCGTGCCCTCTAGCCCGAGGCTCTGGCCAGGAGCAGCAGGCTTGCTTCTTGTTCCTCATTTCTCCTTTTTCGCTGTCACGCAGTAGCCCCTCTTCCTTTGAGGTTCATTACATCCATCCTTCACATCCAGTCTGACTCCTTGTTGCAGTCAATTACTAATGTCCAAGTCACTCTTCCTTTCTTCTATTCCGCTGAACAGGTATCTGCTGAAAGCCTAATCTGTATCAAGCACTGCTGAACTCTAGGAGTGCAAAGACATGCCGCTCTAATGTGACCTCTGCCCTCATACTTGGGGGCTTTGACACACATCTTTGTTCCCTCAAACATTCTGGCTTCTTAATTCATCAGCCTTCTCGGCTTTCACAACCTCCATCTTCACCCACCTCAGCCACACAGAAGTAGGATCATACTCTTAATCTGACCATTATTCATAATTATTCCATCTCTGTTATCCAAATCTCTTGTATTCCCCTTTCAGAACATACTCCTTTGCTCTCTGAAAAACCTATTCTTCATCCCGTGATGATCTACATTTGTATTCTTGATCCCCTTCCTGCCCATCTCTGTCTCAACTTTAGTCTCCTATTCCCTGGCTCCTTCCCCAATGCCTGAAAACATATTCAGACCTCCCACATTCTTTTTTTTTGGGGGGGGAGGACTAGGCAGTAGGGTTAAGTGACTTGCCTGGGTCACACAGCTAGTCAAGTGTTTGAAACCGGATTTGAACTCAGGTCCTCCTGACTCCAGGGCTGGTGCTCTATCCACTGCACCACCTAGCTGCCCCTAGACCTCCCACATTCTTAAAGAACTCTTACTTAACCCTTTCGTTCCTTCAAGCTAGTGTCGAATGCTTCTCCTCCCTTTCGTAGACAAACTCCTAGGAAAAACAGTGTATACACATTGCTTCCACTTCCTTACCTACTGAACTGGAATGGCTTTCTTCAAGGTGAAGTTTTAACTAATCAGTACAATACCCTTTTCTCAGTTCTTATCCTTCTTGACCTTTTTGTATTTTTTGACACTGTCAACCACCCTTGGATTCTGAAATACTGTTTTCTCTTAGTTCTTTTTCCATTCTGACTGCCATTTCTCAGTTTCCTTTACTGGATCATCTTCTTCAGTGTGGGCTTGCCAAGATTGGGATCTCTTCTTTCCTCTCTTTGCATTCTCCCTTGGTATCTCCTCAGGTTCCATAAGTCCAATTATCATTTATGACAGACATTCTTAATCTGGAGTTTAAAAAATATTTAAATAACTAAATTTTAATAAAATTGATTTTCCTTGTAATTTTATGTATTTCATTTTATGTATTTAGAGACATTGTTCTAAGGAGTCCATAAACTTCACCAGATGGACAGAGGAATCCCTGACAAAAAAAAGGGGGGGGGGGAAGTACCTAAGAACTTTTGATCTATGCAGATAACTATCAAATAAAGATATCTCTTTTGTAGATTTGTAGATTTCTCAAACCTAATATGCTTGAAATGAAGCTTATGATATTTCTTCTTTAGACTTCCCCATTTCTATGAAGGATACCACCACCCTTCTAGTCACTCAGGCTCAAAATCTTGGAGTCATTATTGACTGTGCCCCTCCCTCAACTTCCGTATCAATCAGTTGCCAAATCTCTCAGATCTGTCCCCTTCTCTCTACTTGCACAACCACTATGCTAGTTCAGGCCCCTGTCTTATTTCCTGGACTATTACAGTAGGCTTCTGCTTCGATCTCTGTCCCTCCAGTCTTCCTGTCCAGTACAACCTTCACGTAGTTGCTAAATTGATAGTTTGGGTCTAAGATAACTGACCCTGTCATCCTCCAACGTTTTCAAAAATATTCAAGATCTTCCTATTTTCTTTAGTACAAAATACAGACTCCTTAGCCTGGCGCTTAATCTTAACTCCCACCTCCCTTTACAATCTTATTTCATGTTAATACCTTTTACACATTCTTTTCTCAGGAAGGCTGGCCTGCTACAAGATCCCTATGACCGTCTAGCTTCTTTTTGTTTGTTTTACAAGTTGTCCTCCAGTGTGGAATGTGCTTTCTCATTTCTGCCTCTTAGAATCTTTAGCTTCCTTTGGTTGTGTAAAGCACACTTTACCTATCACCTGCACATGAGGCCTTGCCTGATTCTCTCTATTTATTAGCTCTCCATCTTGAAATGACTTGGCATAACTTGATATTTACTTGTGGACATGATGTAAATAAAATACAAGCTCTTTGAAGGCTTAAGCTTGTCTTCTTGTCTTTACATCCGTTGCTTCTAGCACGATGCCTCATGTAGCAGGTGCTTAATAAATGTTTGTGGAATCATCTTGATTTGAAGTGAATCAAGATGGTTCACCCTGTATTAATGCCACAGGAAGATCATTTGAAGGAGGATAATTTGATAGATGTTGTTGTCGGTGTTGTTTGTCCTTTGTGCTCAAAGAAGATCAAAATGACATCATGACCAATGTACGGTGTGTCTGCCTGTGGCTGGTCAGACCAGTACAAGCTTGGAAGGCTCTACCTGTTGGGCACAAATAGTCTGTGTAACCATTTTTGCGAGAGAGATGACCCTAAAGTTGTGCATCCCTCTATAGATGTGTAGCCTGAACAAGACAAGACTCAATAGGTGGGGATTGCTGGCATCATGTAATTAAGAGGCTGTCAAGTGGAAGAGGAATTGAATTTGTTCTGCGTGGCCCCACGAGGCAGAATTAAGTGTAGTGGAGAGAAGCTGCAGAGGCCAATGTAAGCTCGCTCCAAGGAAAACCTTCCTAACACTTGGAGCTATCCAGAAGTGGAATGTGTTGCCTTGAATTAACTAGACATCTTCAAGCAAAGACTAGAGGACCATTTGTTGGTGGCATTAAAATAGGAAGTCCTTTGGGATATAGGTTGCACTGAGGTCCTTTCCAGCTCTGAAATTCTGTGATTCTTTGATTATGACTTTTCACCTAGGTTAAATCAGGAAATCAATCTAGGTCAATTTCCTTATTTGGAAAATGTGTTTACTAACCTACCTTCTTCACAAAGTTGTTGTTGTGAAGATCAATGTAAATGCTTTTTGTAAACTAAATGGATAAATAGCTATACAATGGTGGTATTATTTCTTTTAGACTTTAAAGTTCAACAATCATTTTTCTTAATGGAGGAAATGGAAAATAGAATCAAATGTACAAAAAAAAAGTATTTACTTTTTCTTTCTTTCAGATTGGGAGAACAGACTCAAAACCAAGGAGTCAATTCCAAGGCTAGGAATGTCTATGGAAGAGTCATTCCAAGAAAGTTTCAAAAGGGATGGTGCCTGTGTCTCCAAGTTGATAGAATGTGAGGCTAGGTTAGAAAGATGGCAGAGCTATGAGAAAAAACATTCTAAGCAAGTAAAACCTTTCCAAAGGAAAACTTCCAATAAATTGAAGCACCACAAATGTAAGAAATATGACAGAATCTTTGGTCTAGAGCCAACCTTTGTTTCACAACCAAAATTATATGTTGGAAAGAGTTTCCACCAATATGATAAACATAGAAAGAGTTTCAGATTGTATTCTGACTCAGGCAAGTGTAATAAAATATCTTTGAAGAAGACATTTTCCAAATTTGATGAATGTGAGAAATCCTTCAGTTATAATTATGACTTTTTAAAATGTCATAGAATAAATACTCAAAAGAAACCTCATGAATGTAGTGAAGGTAGAAAAACTTACCAGAGCTCATCCATTATTTCTCTCTCAACAATCGATACTGGAGAGAAACCCCATAAATGTTATGAATGTGGAATGTCTTTCCTCGGTACCCTACAACTAATTGAACATTGGAGCATTCATGTGGGAGAGAAACCTTATCAATGTAATGAATGTGCAAAGGTGTTTCGCTGGAGTTCAGGACTTACTGAACATCAGAGAATTCATACTGGAGAAAAACCTTATGAATGTAATGAATGTGGGAAGACTTTCAGTCATAGATCATCCCTTACTTCCCATTACAGGATTCATAGTGGGCAAAAAACTTATGAATGTAATGAATGTGGCAAGGCCTTCTACTGGACCTCAGAACTTACTAAACATCAGAGAATTCACACTGGAGAGAAACCTTATGAATGCAGTGAATGTGGTAAAGCTTTCCATCAGAGTATACATCTTACTCAACATCAAAGAACTCATACTGGAGAGAAACCTTATGAATGTAATGAATGTGGGAAGGCCTTTGGCCGAATTGCACTCCTTACTGAACATAAGAGAATTCACACTGGAGAGAAACCCTATGAATGTAATGAGTGTGGGATGGCCTTCCGGTGGAATTCAGGACTAACTGAACATCAGAGAATTCATAGTGGAGAGAAACCTTATGAATGTACTCAATGTGGAAAGACTTTCAGTCGTAGATCATCCCTTACTTCCCATCATAGGATTCATAGTGGGAAGAAACCTTATGAATGTAATAAATGTGGCAAGGCCTTCTATTGGATATCAAAACTTACTAAGCATCAGAGAATTCATACAGGAGAAAAGCCTTATGTGTGCAGTGAATGTGGAAAGACCTTTAATCGAAGCACACATCTTACTCAACATCTGGGAATTCATACTGGTGAAAAACCTTTTGAATGCAGTGAATGTGGGAAGGCTTTCAGCCGCAGCATACATTTTACTCAACATCAGAGAATTCACACTGGAGAAAAACCTTACGAATGCAATGAGTGTGGAAAGGCCTTCTGCCAGAGATCAGGACTTACTAGACATCAGAAAATTCATACTAGAGAGAAACATTAAGTTATAATGACTGCAGGAAGGCTTTCTGCCAGAATAAAAAAAAAACTTCCTGAACATCAGAGAATTAATTAACTATTAATTGGAGAAGACTTACAAATGTGATAGATGTGGACAGCTTCTCCATAAGCTATCCCTTACTTCCAGCACAGGATTATATGAGAACTTATAAGTGTACTGAAAGTGGGAAGGCCTTCCATATGAGCTTAGAATTCAGTATACATTGCAGAATTAATAGTGGAGAGAATTAATGAATGTGAGAAGCCTTTCATACATTTTATTGTTCATCAGAAACTTCATACTGGAGAGAAATTTTATATAATAAATGTGGGAAAATCTCCTGAATCAAATGTCTTACAAATGTCTTAATATCAGAATTCATACTGAGCAATATTTTATGAAAATCAAGCCTTAAGAATATAAAAGTTTTGACAAAATTAGCCAGAATACATATTTTACTGAGAATTGTAGAAGTAATATTAAACACAAACTCTTTAAATGAAGCAAAGTTTCATCTGAGCTTCTAATAGCTCTTCCAAACATTTTCCTCTAAAGTCTCCAACCCCAAAGCCTCCCTTTTCCAAAGCCACAGCTAACAATAGGTAACGATTCTTTTGATAAGCAAGAATTGTCATCTGCCAGATATCTTATCCTTTAGTTAGTCAGCATTTATTAAGTGCCTACTATATGCCAGGCACTATACAAAGTGCTATGGATGCAAAGAAAGTCAAAAGATTGTTCCTGCCCTCAAGGAGCTCACAGTCTAATGGATGAGGGGAAGATAACATGAAAACACCTATGTAAGCAAGATAGATATACAGGATAAATTGGAGACAGTCAACAGAGAGAAGACGTTAAAGAGGATTGGGAAAGGCTTTTTGTAGAAAGTAGGGTTTTATCTGGGATTTGAAGGAAGACAGAAATGGAGCATTTTGAGTATGGGAAAGCCAGTGGAAATGTATATAGTCTTGAGATGGAATGTAAGGAAGGGATATAAGGAATATCAAGGAAGCTGCATCACTGAATCAAAGAGTACATGGGGATGAGTAAAGCAAAAGAAGACCGGAAAGGTGGGAGGAAGGCCAGTTGTAAAGGACTTTGAATTCCAGAGGATTTTACATTTGCTTCTGAAAGGGTTGAGGAACTGTTGGAGTTTATTGAATAGAGAAGGGGCAACATGCAGGTAGGGAAAGTTAACGTGACAGCTGAGTGGCAGATGGATCGTAACGGGAAAGAATTGAGGCAGGGAGGCCAACCAACAGGCTATTGTCGTGGATGACTCATGAGGTACCATGGGCTGGCAGCAGTGCGTTGGCGGCGTCAGAGGAGACAAAGGGCTGTGCGCGAGAGACGTCATTGAGGCAGAGTTGACAGGTCCTGATGACAGATCGGCCACGGAGGGGAAGAGAGGGAGGAATGGGAGGTTGTATTTAGGGTTTGAGCCTGGGGGACTGGAAAGATGGGGGTGCCCCCTACAGTAAGGGCATCTTACAATCTTAGTGGAGATTTTCTGGAGAGAGGCAATGGGCTTGGTTCTGGATATGTTGAACTTAAGAGGTCTACAGGACATCCCCTCTGCTGACTCTCAGAATCTTCGTTTTCTCTGCTCCCCCTTTCATACATTTAGAGAAGAATCAGAGAATTTCACATAATCGCGCAATGTGATGGCTATGCAGGGGTGTGTTGATAAATGTTTAACTACTAGCACACTTCATAACTTATTGGGGTCTTCAGTGCCCATCTTGTGTGCCTGAAAAATAATCCCTTCTTATGATGTATCTGACAAGTTGCCATTAGATCTTCTGGAAATGATAGTGAGTGTGCTTATAATAGTAAACCTTTCATAATTTTTCTCCATTGCTTCAAAAACAACTCCATTATGACTGTCCAACTAAAAGCTAGGGACCAGGTCCCAGGACAGCTTTCCTCGCCATGCCTTTTAATTAGCTGAAGTGATTTTATCTCCCACTGTTTTAATATCATTCTGGTGTCAAGGATAACCTTGCTACGCTTTTCATGCTACTCTTGCCTTTCCTACCTTTCTCTTATATTTCTGGTTGTTCCTAGTTTGTCATGCTTCCCATATCCCATTTATGTGTGCGTGCTCCATTGTTTGTATGTGTTTGCCTTTGCTTTGATTCTTGGAGATCCAGGATCTCTGCCTGTAAAGCCTTACTTCCTGCAGTATCCAGAATTTTTAGGCAGACATTTCCTCTTCTTGATTTCTTACAGAAACAGCCAAGAGATGGTGTTTTGGGGTGTGGCGAGAGATAAGGTTTTAATGTCAGGTTCTGTTTGGTAAGGGTAGGTGCTTCAGGAGACATCTAAAGAAGACTGTGCTTCCACCCTAGGGAAGGGGTATCTGGTTTCCCCATGCATCAGATGGGGGGGCAGATGAACCACAGAAGATGGATGTAGTCATGGGATACATTGGCTCTAAGATCAACAGATGAAGACTATAAGAAATGACTATAATGTAAGTAGTAAGACATGACACAAGACGCAGAGTGTCTTGTAGCATACTACACTGTCCCCTTCATAAATTAATATTTCATGTTAAAGTGCCTGAGAAGTAATCCTACCCTATCCTGTGACAGAGAGAGAGAGGAGGCATGGGTGAGACCTTCCCTTGCAGTAATAGGTGACCTGCATAAGCAGCCAGGTGGCACAGTGGATACAGTGCAGGGTCTGAAGTCAGAAAGACCTGAATTCATGTTGGCTTCAGATACTTCAAAGCTGTGTGACCCTGGGCAAGTCAACTTCTGTGTGCCTTGGTTTCCTCAACTGTAAAATGAGGATCCTCACAAGAACATTGGGAAGCAGATGCTGTTATGATCCTTATTTTACAATTGAGGAAACTGAGTCAGAAGGTTAAGTGACTTGCCTAGGGTCTGTTAATTTTTTTTGTTTGTTAGGCAGTAGGGTTAAGTGACTTGCTCACGGTCACACGGCTAGTAAATGTTATGTGTCTGAGGCCGGATTTGAACTCAGGTCCTCCTGAATCCAGGGCTGGTGTTCTATCCACTGCACCACCTAGCTGTCACCTATTGTCCTTTTTTCAGAGAAGACCAAGATAACCTCACTATGTTGGAGTCAAGGTACAGTGTGTCTGTCTATGGCTGATCAGACCAATACAGTCTTGGAAAGCTCTGTCACAAGTCAGGGACAGATAGTCCATATGAAATTTGGAGTGATGTCTCTAAATTTGCGCATCTCACATTTCTTTTGAGCTACTGCAATTCTGCTTTGCTCAGAGGGCACAGCACCTTCATTGATGCAGGCATGCCATGCTGTGTGGTGCTTTGCCAGTGTCTCCCGTGTCATGCAATTGATTCTAGAGTTCTTCAGAGAGGTCTTGAGAGTGTCCTTGTATCGCTTCTTTTGACCACCATGTGAGCATCTGCTTCGCCTCAGTTTGTGAAATAGTCTTTTAGGCAAGCATACCTTTGGCATTTGAACAACATGGCCAACCTATTGGAGTTGTGCTCACTGAAGCAGAGTTTGAATGCTTGGCAGTTTAGCTCAAAAAAGGACCTCAGTGGCTGGTATCTTCTCCTGCCAGGTGATCTTCAGAATCTTCTTAAGACAATTCAAATGGAAGTGATCCAGTTTCCTGGCATGGTGCTGGTAGACTGTCCAGGTTTCACAGGCATACAACAGTGAGGTCAGCACAACAGCTCTGTAGACCTTCACTTTGGTGGTCAATCTAATACCTCTTCTCTCCCACACTTCCCTGTGGAGCCTCCCAAATACTGAGCTAGCTCTGGCAATGTGTGTGTCAACCTCATTATCAGTGTATGCATCTTGGGAAAGTACCTTGCCAAGGTAAGTGACCTTATCCATAGCATTTAAAACTTCTCCATTTGCTGTAACCAGTGGTTCCACATATGGATGGTGTGGTGCTGGTTGGTGGAGCCCCTGTGTTTTCTTGGTGTTAATTGTTAGACCAAAAGTGGCACAAGCAGCAGAGAATCGATTCATGCGTTGTTGCATCTCATCTTCAGAGGTTGCATTGAGTGCACAACCATCTATGAACAAAAAGTCATGCACCAACTCTTTAGTCTTGGCTTGTAGCCTTTTCAAATACTTTACCATCATAATAAATAAGTAAATAATTTGCCATCAGTATGGTAGCTGACCTTGATGCTGTGTTTGTCCTCATTGAAGGCATCTGACAACATGGCTGAAAACATCATGCTAACAAGCATGGGAGCAGGCACACAGCCTTGTTTCACCCCATTGGTGACTGGGAAAGCATGAGAGTATCATCCCTGATGGGCAAGCGTGCCATCGTGAAATTGACATACCTTCTCCAGGCAACCACATTTTGGCATAATTTTCCCATAAGCCCTCATGACTGACGTATCAAAGGTCTTGGGCACAGCTTGTAAATAACTGAATGTGAATTTGAAATCGTGGCTTCTTGTCTCCAGGTCCAGGGTCCATTGTGCCATTGAGCTGCCTAAGAAGAGGGACTCAGAACCTGGCCCCTGGAAGGTCTTTGTTCCTCCCTTAGTCACTGCTGTGGAGTTTCATCAGAGTTGAGTAGTTAGTGGTTGGTATGCCTAGTTTCCTAATCATTTGTGAGTGTGAGGCCAGGTACTTCTGCCACTCATTCCCAGGGGAGCAATGCTTCCTCTGCACGCCTGGAAGCTGGCAGCTTGTTCATGTTGTCTTGGAGGTGCTACCTTTCTTACTCTGTCCTCCCGGGTGAGAGGTTATCTCTCATCTCTGAAGACAAGAAAAGTCTCTGTCCTCTCGCCAGGGATTAGGTCCAATGACCGAATTTTCTTTCCCAGGCCAAATCCACTCTGTGAACTCTTCCCACTTCCCTCTTAAGAACACAGGAAAGATCAGCCCCCAGAGATTTTAGAGTCCTCTGGGTGTTGCTACCATGGCCACTGTTCCCAGAATAAGATGGGGTCAGGCTGATATTACAAGCTGGCTCTGACTCTAGCACTTTCCTGTTTCCAATGAGCAGCACTTGCCATGTACAAATCCAGTGTGATCCCCCAGTTGGACCAAGGGGAAGCACCTTGGGTGCCAGAGAGGGAAGGCCCAAGATGCAGGTGAGTGAGTGACACCCTTCAGCTGAGGAAAGATAGCAAGCAAACACAATGGCCTCTTGAAGGAGCACAGTACTTCTGTAGCCTTTGATCACCATCTTCTTGAAACTCTTGAGGTTTCCATGACATTCTTCTCTGCTGGTTCTCCTTCTACCTGTTACTGCTCCTTCCCAATCTCTTTTGCTAGATCTTCATTTAGTTTGCACTAACTTTGGGTGTCTCCCAAGACTGTTCCGGGCTCTCCCCTTTTCTCCCACTGTACTATTCCATTTCAATTGG